TTACTATTCAGTGTGCTAAGTTCAAAACAAATTTTACTTTATAATGAAGAAATTCTAGTAGCTTTTTGTTTTGTGGGTTTTGTGGCGGTGCGAATAATGAACAGAAAGCTAGACGCAGAGCTTATCGGCTCTGGGGGAGATGTTGGTGGGCTAAGAGAAGTATATTAGGGCAGGAAGATTGGGTATTTGCGACGTTATATGGCCCGAATGACCCTCTGCATTGATTAGAATTGTTTGGATGATTACCATGATTGTGTTTGCCAAATGGGGAGGGGGACGGCGATTGCCGGCGATTGGAATCGGGTGTGCAGCCCGGGGGCTGGTGGACTCAGAACGGGATCGGGATGACGACGGAACAAAGAGAGAGTCTCAGACCGTTACTCCTAGTACCTGCTCCGATGGATATAATTAAGGCATGGGGATTATGAGAGACATAAGACCTCGTTCCACTACAGTAACTCTCGAAATGTGCAAAATGAGAATGAATCTTCCGCTAGAAGATGGACAGATGCACAGCTGCGGTAATGATTTTTGTCGTTTGTGCGTGTGTCGAATTTTCCGCTAGAAGATGGACAGATGCACAGCTGCCATGATTTTTTGTTGTTTGTGCGTGTGTCGAGAGTAGTGGAGTGAGTCCCATATCTCGGCAAAGATGGCCAAGGCAAACAGGCTACAGTGTCACCTGGTTTGCAAGAAGCGGGCCGAGAATGTGGCAGGTGGTGTTAAAGGGCGATTGGAATCGGTTTTGGATGGACCTAATATCTGAGTTTTTTTTGTTTTTTTTTTTGACAAAATGCTTCAATCTATTCGTGGGGAGCAGCAGGTGCTGGGAATATAACTTAGTCGCTGCTGCTCAGGTGGAAAAAGTGAGGGAACAGAATGTCCGCTATCGGACCTTAAACGGTGGACATAACTGCTGATGATGAGGAGATACTAAGAGAGGGGACCTGGCTACCGTGTTCACCCGAATCATTGTAGCTGTATTTGGCACAACTTTCGGTCCAGATGCAGCGATAATGACGTGGCGTTCTATTCGTGTGAAGACGGTAGATCAAGTCAAATGCATTGAACCTGCAGGCTGAGGATGAAGGGTGGCACTCATGGAAAACCAGTTCAGGCACGATTGGCACTCAACCGAAGACCACTTTGGTCCTGTGCCGAAAGAATGGATAGACGCAGGGCCAACTTAGAATTATGGGTCACAAGTTTGACTGTTTGTTCGCTGATGGCCGCTTACAGCATGAAAAGACAAGGAAGAAAAGGAATGCTCGAGGAGAGTAGAGGACTCCGCGGCAGAAAACAGCAGAGAAGGTCAACCTGCTTCACAGGTTTTGCGAGGATGGAAGAGAGGGGATACTAGAAGGCTGAAAGAGTGGACATCCGTTAAAATTGGAACGATACAGAGAAGATTAGCATGGCCCCTGCGCACGGATGACACGCATAAATCGAGCAATGGTCCAAATTATTTAAAAAAAAAAAAAAAGGAACGCATTTTTTTTTTTTTTTTTTTTTTTTTTTTTGGGAACGCATTTTTGTGCAGGTCGAGTTTTTTTGTTTTAAGCCCAGATTGTTGTAGAGGCTGGATTACAGGCATATGAGAGTCACCTTCGGCACTCGGAATGGAGGAGAAGGGAGGAAGGGAGTGCTCACTTCTGACAGACTCACTGAAGAAGTGATCTCCGATCGATTTTTTTTAATTTTTTTAATTTTTTTATTTTTTTGTCGGTCTACGGAGTTTTTTGTTACCAGACATATTTGGTGACTGATAATACCGGGCAGGTCGTTGGAAGATCAGCCTCTGTGAGGGACGCCAGGCCCGTTTCCCGGATATCAATAATATGATCGCTTTTCTTGAAGAAGAAGAAAAAAAAAGAGATCAACCTTTACTACTTTTTTTTTTTTTTCCTGCTGCTACTTGTTCTTGCAAACAATAAAAAGGAAAAACAGAAAAAAAGAGAAAAAAAAAAAAGAAAGGGAGGAAAAAAAGGATCACCCTCTGCTCATGAGATGCCTTCCTGATCGCGTGTGGATGATCTCGGACCCTTCTTTTTTTTTTTTCTCTCTAATCTAAGACCCACTCACCATCCTCTCGCAAGTGGCTTTTATTTACATTATTATATCATATTATATTATAGGTTTTGTGAAAGTCATGCTTTTTTTTTTTTTTTTTTTTTTAATTAAAGGCTAATTGCCCAACCAATTCAATTACCTGTCGAATCTGGACAGGACGGCCTTTCAGGCCTTTTTTATTGTCATTATAGTATTACGGGGAGCCGTGCTCAAGCCTCCAACGAGGGAACATGCGGGAG